CCAAGTTAAGCGTGCTTACACGGGGGTATAGTCTTGTGATGGGTGACCCCTTGGAAAGTTTCTCAGGGAGCACGAGTGAGAACAAAGTGCACTTTCAACCACTCCCTTCGCAGATAGCGGGTTGTTGTGGATATTTTAATGGCGTTCGCCGAGATGCTAAGACACCCAGAGTTCACACTGGCCCCTTGACCATTTATCCTTGGTCATCTTTATTTGATGACTAAGGCATCATATTACGGACAATTACTCGACCTATCTCCTAGTCATCTTTATTTGATGACTAGAACTACATATTATGGTGGGCTACTCACCGACCATATTCTCTCGGTCACATCATATGAGCAATTCTCGATCAGACACAAAATCCGTTCTCGCTCTTCGCATCAGTAGAGGGCGACCATTGCATCTGCACACAGTAGTTGGAGGGTATCCAATGTACTCTTTTTCCTTCATTATGATTTTTTCCAATGAGTTTTTTCGTAGTAAGGTTTTAACGAGGCACCCCCTCATTATGAATAAAGAAAGAGGTCTCTCGATCGTGACAAGGAAGGCTCCATCCTTTCACAAGCAATGGGATCAAAACAACTCAACTACTCCCTTTTAGTCGAGTCTACTACTCAGCTAAGGGAGTGAGGGACTCATGTTGGGATAATGAGGCGGGTCCAAGACTATCGGGCCATTACACCCGAACTTTAGCCCGACCAAGCTCAAAACACAACCCAAATAACACAAATCGGTCTGTGATTATTTAATTATTAGTTGGGACGACTGGCCCATTAGCACATAACATTTGATTAGTGAGTCTCTTGTAAATGCCTATAAATAGTGATGGTCCCGGATATAGGTAAAAGTCTGGGGGGGGGGTGGGTGAATAGACTTTTAAAGCTTTTTCAACTTTACAAATTTTTCCCTTCTAGATAAGATGATCTATAATCTTTTGGGGGAATATAGATGCACAACAGAAGTCTTAACCTCTATATATACAATGTATGACAACTTTATAATAATAGTAAGTTTCCTTTAGGAAAGGAAAATGATCAGATGAGTTTGTATGACTATCAGAAAGGTCAAGTAAGGAGAGCAGTTGACTGGACATTGGAGTAGGCAGTAGGAAGCTGCTAACTTAGCTGCTGAGGAATATTGAAAGTATTAGAGAAGCTGGTTTTGGAATCTTACTGAGAATAATAAGAGCTTTCTGAAAATGTATTGAGCTGTGTTAAAGTTGAAGGTTTTGGTGAGCAGTGAACTGAGCAGTAGAGTAGTGACTAGGGAACTGCTGAGGCCACTGCGGAGTAAAAATATGATTTTCAGAAGTCTGATCAAACTGGAGTATTTGTGATGGTTTTATAAGGCTTTTGTGATACTGGGATGTCTTCAAGGAAGTGTATAAATGGGCAGTAGGTTAAGCAGTAGGGTGAGGAGAGGCTATTGCTGAGATAACTGCTAAAACAGCTGCTCAATTTAAGAAGTGTTTGGTGTGTGCTTTGTTAACTGAAAGTAAATCAACACACACTATATCCTGGTTCAGAGGTGGTGTAATCCTCCTACATCCAGTCCCACCTACTTTCAGATGGATTTCCACTAAAGTATCAAGCCGAATACATTTAGTGCCATTCTGGTCTTTATCACACAACTAGCCTAGATTGAAGGTGTTTCACTAGGAGTACACACCACTCCAAGCTACTCAATCCTTAGGTTTTCCCAATTGATCCAATGGGGATCAAAAGGTACTCTATCCTATCTATCCACACTTAGAACTTGATAACAAAGTTCATCTAAGTGTTTACAATAGTTTATGATATACACAAAATATTAGCCTCCAACTATGAACTAAACTTCCAGAATATAGCAATGAAGAGTTATAACTTGGAAGCTTAGTGAAGCATGAGTGTGAGCAGAGAGTAAAGTTAAACAGTCACTTTCTCTTTTGCTAGATATCTCTTAAACGCTTAGTGAGATTTTCTCTACTTAGAAGGCTCAAAAACTTGGTTTTAATACTCATACTTCTGCCTATATTTATAGGCTTCTCCAGTAGATTGATCTCGTCCGTTGGTTGTGAGGAGATAATCCTTGATGTTGAACGTGTTGTACTTTATCTTCTTGTGCTGGAGCAGATATTGGTGATTTCCTTTGTCTTCACTGATAAGCCACCTGAAAATCACTTCAGGATCAATTCCTTGATTTTATTGTGTGCGTTCCATGCTTCTAGGCGTCATGTACTATTTTAGCATTAAATGCCTATCAAATTTTGTCTTCAATCATACACATGCGTGTATATGACCTTCCTTTTTATGTATGTGTTTTACCTTTTGTGACTTTGTTTAATTTATGTATCAAATAAAGTTATACTGGTAGGATTTAAATATCCTATTAAGGTAAATGAAATTTACCTTATTGCATTTTTAATTTCTAGCATAATTTTATTTGTTACAAAAATTGTACATTTTATTTTAGTTGATAATGTACCTTTTCTTTTGTACATTTATCAACTTTGGACATGGTCACTACAAACTTGGAACAAGGAACGTACAAGAGCTTTGGTATAGTGGCATCATCAAAATCTATCAAAATTAGGTACTAACAAATAGGTCACCGACACCTTGTACTTGGGGACATTATTTTCATAATACTGAATTGCTGTTAGTTTCTCTCAGGCTATTTTCTACCAACAAATTAATACATACCTATTATATAGGTGATCCTACGATAGTGAGATACCATAAAACTAATACCCACTTTGACTGTTTATAGTACTTTATACATACTGAAAAAGTGTGTTGGGATCGATAGGTAAAGCCCAATATTTATGATTATTATTAATATTATTAAAGCCCAATATTTATTATTGATATTATTATCAATATTATTATATCATATACTATGTACTCCATCCGTCCCGTTAGAAGGTTCTCACTTTTCTTTTTTAGACGTCCCAATAGAAGGTTTCCATTTCCATTTTAGGACACAATTAACAATCTTAAGTGAAAAATTAATCATTAAATTATTAAAAATAGTACATTTATAACATCACAATTATCAATACTAACTACATTATAATGTATATCTATTAAAATTATTTATCAAAATATACTCGAAGTACTTTATTTAATTATCACCTAAATAATCGTGCCGTTTTTCTATGAGAATCTTCCAACGGGACAGAGGTAGTATATAATATGCTTTTACACTTTCAATATTTCAAAAGATCTTTCGTGACCTAATTTCTAGTCTATTATTTGAGCTTTCTGTGTGAGAGAAAGAGACATAGAGTGTGGAGTTATGCACCTCTACAAGAACCGGTATTTTGAATAAATGTACTAATTTTCTATTAAAATCCTTGATTGTTTTACTAGCGATTTAGCAAAGATATGTTTTTGAGTTTTTGCACGTTGCTTTACATTTCATACATAGATCTTGTTATTTTCACAAAGTTTATAATATTGTGCATCCGTAATTTGGCGGGTCTTCCCGACTCAGTTCTGAGACCCGTTGGATCCACATCTAAATTTTCAGACTCGTTGAGTATAAGAGTCTGTCTTTCATCAACTTAGCGGGTTCGAATTTGAAACACTATATTGTGTCCCAAAGGTGGCCCATCGACAAGCCTAACGGTAACAATCACTTCATTATAAATATGCTTAAAGTTGTTTTCAACTTTATAAACATATGCTTAAAGTTAAATGTTAAAAAATGGACTCTATTTTCTTGCTTAATCATTATACCGTGTTAAACACGTATGTACCATACTAGAGTACTAGTTAGTAGACCCACTGGTTACCAAATAGGGAGTACTATCTTCGTTCCTCAATTATCTTTCAAATAGGATTTTGAGCGGGGAAATTCCTGAAATGGGATAAAAAACGTTTGTAAATTTCAAATTAGGACTGTCATGTTTTTATTCCAAAAATAGGAGTAATTACTGTCAAGTTTGGAAAATACTGCCATGTTTAAAGTCCAATACTGCCAAAACATGACAGTAATTAGTCTCATATTGAGAATTAAAAACATGACAGTCCCATTTTGGAATTTACAAACATTTTTAGTCCTATTTAGGGTAAATTCTCTTTTGAGCGTGATTAAAGTTGTGAGGTAGAGAATCATATAAATGAGAGTGATATATGAAAGAATATATAAGAAATAATGTAAATCACATATTGTTTGCGGAATAAATAAAGAAGGGAGTATTTTGAGACGAATAAATCACAAGAAATGTTGAAAGATACTCCGTAATTAGGAAGGAAGGAATACTTCGTAACACATTTTCGGACCATACTCGTTTTCTAGATTTTTGACCATTTTATGATTCATGAATCATGAGACATGACAATTAGGGCGTAAAAAGGTAAAGAAGAAAAAGGTTTGAAAAATGTTTTGTGTACACATTTTGTACATTCGTCTGTTTGATACATAAAGAATTGTCTGTCCACAAAAAACTTGTAGAATTGTCTGTGAACAAACAATTTTTTGTGCGTGAGACAGATGAATGTACAAAATGTTTACACCAAAATGTGTACACCTACTAGGCTACCACAACTCAAAAGTTTTCTTAAGTAAAATAACCGTCCACAAAAGTAGAAACCTCAGACCTCAACTTTTGACTCTCAATTCTCTTTTCTTACTCCGTATATTTCTTTATATACTGTGGTCACATTCTTAATTAATCACAAGTTAAAAAAAAGAAATGGAGATGTTTACCCGACATTCTCTGTTTGTGACACTCTTCTCTGTTTTTCTCCTTCCCGGCGGCGTCCACTCCATTGGCGTTAACTATGGAACTATGGGCAACGACCTCCCTCCTCCGGCGGAGGTCGCTAGATTCATCAAGGAAAACACCACCATCGACCGGATCAAAATCTTCGACGTCAACCCCGACATTCTCCGGGCTTTCGCCAACACCGAAATCCTGGTAACGGTCACTGTCCCCGACGACGAGATCCCCCGACTGGCCAACGACTCAGTCTACGCCCGGCAATGGGTCGCCGAGAAAATCAAACCATTTTACCCGGCGACTAAGATCAACATAATCTCCGTTGGGAGTGAGGTCATCCACTGGGGCACGACGGAGATGAAGAAAGGACTTGTCCCAGCCATGAGAAGATTGTACCTCGCTCTGATTTATACAGGGATAAAAGATATTAAGGTAAATTACTTTGAAGTATAAGTATGATAAAAGTATAAGCTAAGCATGCACTTTATACGAAGTATAAGTATGATAAAAGTATATTCTATGTTGAGAATTAGTGGGTGTAGTATGCAATGACCAAGTCTCTCCTCTTCGTGAGAGGTCTTGGATTCAATTCGCCCTTAAAAGAGATTAGAGGTTTTGCTCCTCCCTATGATTCTCCATGATTCATCGTTCGAAGTTCATACTAGTATAATTTAAGATTATGAGAGCGTAACCCCGAACACTTGGATTATAAAAAAAAATTGATGCATTCTTTGAAATATCACAATAACTCGCTAATCAGTGAACGGACAACTTGAATCAAATGGACGAATCTACCACTCAAAACATAATACGGTCTTGCCTCTTTTTGATGTTGGGGGGGACTGAGTAGGCTTCTTACTTGGGCCCCAGCTTGTTTTTGGACTTAGATCGAATTAAAACCTTCTTCCAACCCCCAATTGGGGGGATGTTTGGAAGATCTAGGATGTATAGTTTTCTTTTGAGTGCTAATAAAATTTACATTTCATCCAAAAAAAAATAATACGGAGTACAAAACAACAATGAAATCCGGAATTAAAAGACAAGAAACTAATAAAGAACATCTGAATCGTCAAGCTCCAATGCGGGCCTATAAAGTATAAACCCAAACCATCCTGATCCTATTTTTCGGTATCGATGCCTTCTCCCTCACGCTTACTTCTTTCACATCTTTTCCCGCAAGAGCTCACCATCATCGATCAATATACTAATCATTATCATTCTCCATACCAGAGTGCCTGCTCCGTTCCTCCAACCCGGACAACTTAGCCATTCCTGTGAGTTATTGCGCTTTGTTGCTGTGTGGAAAAACACACTTTCATCATAGAAAAGCCAGCCGCACATTGGTGGCAAAAAAACTTATGTGGTTATTAAGAAAAATAACCACAAGAATAAAGTAAGAATTGATAAAGTAAGAATGATAAAGTAAATTTATGTGGTTAAGAATGAAACAATCTTAACAGGACGGAAGGAATATTACGGTGTTAAATTGATGGTGACATTTTATTTAGGGGTAATTTGAGTTTGCACCCCATTTTATTGTGCGAATTGGACTTTGCATTGAGTTTCCCAAAAACTTTGTTTTTGCACCACAACCCCGTATGAAAAGACACAATGGCCCTCCATTAACAATTTTGTTGGCCTTCAACATATTCCTGATGGAGGGTAATTTTGTCTTTTCATATGGGGTCGGGGTGCAAAAACAAAGATTTCTAAAAATAGGGTGCAAAGTCCAATTTGGACAATAAAATGGGGTGCAAATTCAAATCACCCCTTTTATTTAAGCTCGTGGATTGAATGTTCTTTTTTGTGGCTTTAGATTATACGTTCTTTTAGTAACTTAAAATTGACAATTAAAATTATATTGTAGAAATTCTTATCAAAGACATTTACTGTATAATTCATTAACAAAAAAAATTATGATACAACTAAAATAGCATTTGAAGTAGCAACTTCAATCAAAAAACAATTTCAATCTTACTTTATTTTAATTATGAAACAATTTCGCCCGTAACATAAAAATCATTATTAGGTTAACAAGTTGAATGATAACGTACGCTGATACATCAAAATTAAAGGTTATCAAACAGGCACTAGGAGTATAAAATACCCACTCTTCATTTACTTTTACTTTAATAATGAGACAAATAAATAAAATTTGAATGATAAAGTTGTAAGTCTCAGTAAAAGAAATAATGAAGTATATTATAGGACCATTTTACAACAAAGTAATAAAATGTCAATTCTATTTTATGACCATCTGAAACGGAAATACTCTGTATGTATGTAAGTAGGGTCATTTTTTTTTATGTACACAAAAATGTGTATACAAATTGTACATTGTCTATGTACACATGCAACTAAGGATATTTCAGCATTAAATCATGCCCCTTCTAAAACAAATTGCTTGTGTATATACACATGCAACTAGGAAGTTTTGTGTACACTTTATGTATAATTCATGTGTACTAAGAATTTTTCATGTAACTATAATTTGGAACGCGATGTATGTGGTAAAGAGAAGATACAAAATAATTGGTCCAAATCATTATATCATTTTTAATTTAGATTTAAATAATTCAACTACAACATTCTGATTGGTCCATGTGGACAAAGGTATGGTACCTTTTGGGTACCATAGAATCTATCTGTGACAACTCCGGTACCCATTTAAAAAATGGGGTACCGTACCTACCACTCACATAATTGGTCCAAATCATTATATCATTTCTAATTTAGATTTAAATAATTCAACTACAACATTCTGATTGGTCCATGTGGACAAAGGTATGGTACCTTTTAGGTACCATAGAATCTACCTTTTAAAAATTAATGGGATGTATGTTTTAAATTTAAATATGTTGGTATTTATAATTATGAAAATATTGTAGAAACTTTAATACTCTGTATGCCTTTGATTTTCCCACTAAAAATTTAAATTTTCTTGCCGTGTATTCCTCCGTTTTCTTTTGTCATGTGGATCTATTGATTTTTTTTCCTGGAATAATGCTAATTAAATAAATAATTCCAAAATATTACTGAGTTAAAAATAGTTCCAAAATATTGCTTTTCAAAAGCATCTCACGTAACTAAGCAATGCCAGAGACAAACATATATGGTAATGGGTCCCACCCAAATTAAAAATCTCCTCTTTTCTTTGAAGCGTTGTAATTTTTTTATTAGTACTCTAATTGTTACAAAAATATACCATAATTCATAACTTTTTATGATCTTTCATATGATACCAATATTGAAAATATAAAATCAAAAAATAATGTAACACTTTAAAAATTTCTGTGTATACTTACTTATTGATTTTTGTCTAGTTGGATCGTGAAATACTGAAAATTGTGAATTGTTCATATTGTTGTTTGATCCTGAATTTGTGTATTTTGAATTTGTTGGAGTATTAAATATAGAGTATCATTTTGTAAAAAATGGTTATGAAATTAAATTGTGATTTTGTGAAAGTATTAAAATTTCTTTGGTAAACATTCAAAACTTCATTAAATGTAAAAGATTTTATTAGTTTTAAAGTATAATAAACTTGGACAAATCAGGATAGGATAAAGTGAAAAAGAGGTGAAGAATAAAGAAAAGATTCACAATATTCTTTAAAAGTTAGGCCTGTTATGGACGGCTCGCTCCTAGGCCTTGGAACCGCCAAGACCGGCCCTCGAATACTTGAATGTTCTATAATTAGAATTCTCCCAGAAGGCTATCTGATCTGTTTTTCAAGTAACAAGATCTTTAACAAGAGTCATTTTATGACTTGATTTTCTCTTATATGACTTGATGTTCAATTGAATATAAAGTCAATATTGATAAGAAGAAAACTGTCAAATAGGTCCTCGAACTTTCATAAAAAAGTCAATTAAGTCCTTCTATAGGAGACTTTGTCCAATTGTCGCGATTTGGGGCGGTTCCCGGTGGATTTTTTTGATGAAATTTTTTGAGCATCTTTTTCATCAACCCTAGTTTACTCATACCAAATTTTAGCTAAAAATTTAATCGGGAGCGCATTCAAATTAATTTGAGAACGCAAAAATGCGCAGTTATCTTCAAGAATTAATTTGAATGTGTTCCCGATTGAGTTTTTAGCTGAAATTTGGTATGAGTAAACTAGGCTTGGTGAATAAGATGCTCAAAAAATTTCATCAAAAAATTCCACCGGAAACTTTCCCAAATCGCGACGGCCGGACAAAACCTCCTATAGAAGGACTTAATTGACCTTTTTATGAAAGTTCGAGGACCTATTTGACAGTTTTCCCTGATAAGAATGTTTTCAAATCTTCAAAGTCACATTCTCATCTTCGAATCTTGAAGTTTCGTTCTTCATATGTTCGATTCTTCAAGACTCTTTTCTTTAGATCATTGAATGCATGTTCTTCAAATTTTTGAACGTACTTCAAAATTTGGACTTAGTTTATCAAGATAGACGAAATCACAATGAATTAGTCATATATTCTTAATAAAATACGCGACTTGATTTCTTAAAAGCTTCTTGTGAATTTTTTAGAATCTCTCAGGAATTATGTCGAGTTTCTTTGTGGCATTTCTTCATCTGAAAATTTACTTCTTTTTTCTCTCAACTAATACTCCTATTTTCCAAAAACTTATAAGCACCAATGACAGTTAGAGTATTTTAGAAATGATAAAAATGTTGGTGTAACACTTGAGCAATATGCACTTGTACAATATATTTTAATCATTGTACCATTCACCATTACCCATATTTATTACCCTACGTCCCTACCTCCGTTAAATCCTAACTCTTAAGTTTCCTTAACATTCTATGTACATAGTAGGTAGTACTATATATGCTAATAGCATTAATTTCCATTATATGTTTTCATTTGTTTTTACATTTTAAATTTTTTCTCTACATTACTTTATATTATACGAGTATGTAGAAGATAATTTGTTTGGGCGTGTTTGATATTTAGCGGTTAGTGTATAGCGGATTATATTAGCGGGTGGTTCCAATAGCGAATTTAGTCAACGGGCTTGATTAGCGGAACAAGTTGACGGGTTGTCAGAAAATGTTAGCAATTTAGTTGTTTGGCTTTAACAATTAGTAGAAAACGCAATATGGTTGTTTTTACTATTATTTATTACGGAGTATTTAACAATAATAATAATAAATAATAGTATCCTCCTACTCTTTGCATTTTTCTAAATTCAATAAATATGTGAGGTGTTTCCTGGCCCTCACCCTAAAACCTCTGGGTTTTGGTCAAATACCGGGTGCAAAAAAATAGTAAAAATAAACATCTATCTTTATGGTCAAAGATATAAAAAAACATAAATTATTGTTATTAATATTTGAAAAATAATAACATTATCAAAATAGATTATTAAGATTAAAAAAATCCAATTTTATGTAAATTTATATATATCTTCTCTCTACTTGCAGAAATGATTACTTCAGAAGT